CTTGGGGGTTAGTCTCGATGCTGGGGGCACTTCTGTGGGTCACAGTGGGGCAGGGACCGGGCTTTGCCTCTGGCCACCAAGCATCTTTCACTATCCTCTGCCCCTGAGGCGCTCACCTTTAATTCAGACAGATGAAGACTTCTGGAGAGGAGACCCTGCCTTGCCTTGAGCAGGACTAGGCCTGCACCCAGCATGAGGTGCCGTCCTGCAGGAGGTGGTGCTCTTCTCTCCGAGAGCAAAGAGGATGTCTGACCTGAAACCCTGGCTCTACCTTCTGTGCCTAGGAAGGCCCAGTGCGCTCAGCGCATTAGCCCTTGTCTCCTGGTGAGATTCCAGCTCTGAGTCCTGTTCAGGGATCCAAGTCCCCCTGCTGATCCACCTCTAGCCCTAAATGTGTCCGTAGACTGGCCAATGCTGATTGAACAGCCGCTGTGTTTCACCCCAGAGGTGGCTGCATACCCACGGGGTGGGAGGCAGCGAGTCCCCAGTGGTTTGTGTTGGTCCCTGTGCAGCAAGTTGCAGTTCTTTGAGCAAATAAATGGGAGTAAATAGGAGCTGGTGGGGTTACGCTTTATTTACCCTAGCAGGGGGTTGGCCTAATGTACATGCAGACTCAATTTTTATGTCCCCCTCTGCAACTGGTTCTCTCCGGGCAGGTCGTTATCTGCGGGGACCCAGAAGGAGATGACACTAAAGAGCTGCTACGCTGCATCCGCTCCATCTTCTCTCCAAACAAGGTAGGGTCAACATGATCCTCCTGCAGACCTTGCTGCCCCCCACCCATGGTGCCCAGACATATCCCCCTTACTCCTTGTCTCCCAGCCCAGCCTCACTGTTCGATGTGTCCTGCTTCCCCAATGCTCCTTCCAGCTGCTGGGCCTTGTTCCCCTACTAGTGAGGAGGAGTTGCGTAGCCTTCTCCCAGGGTGTCTCCCTGATGCAAAGAAATGGCACAGAGGCTCGTTCTGTCAGCCCATCCCCTGGAAGCTAATTGGTGCAGCAGCCACGAGCGCACAGCATGTGCGTTTACCAAGGGCTCCCAGGCTGGGCCTGTTGCTCCCAGTGCTGCAGCCTCAAGAGAAACGCTTGTTCCAGGCGGAACGTCCCCGGCCCGGCTGGCGGCACCAAATTGCACATGTATCTAGGTTACCACGATCGACTCAGCTTCTGCCTGGAAATGTAGCATCTTCTTAGCACCCACCCACACATCCTCCAGGCGAGAGCTGCAGCGCTCACCCAGGAGTTGTATGTTGACTCCTCTTAGTCCCTCTCCAGGGGAAAGGAGGAGCCAGGGTCTGATCCAGAGCCTCAGACACCCCCAGCTTTGCTCTAGTGCTCCAGACCCTCCCAGAACCAAGTCCCATGAACCTGCTCACCAGTTCCTAAGTTCCCACAAGCCTAGTGCTGGCCCCTTGTTCCCGAAGGTGCCTCCCTGCCCCCCAACCCCATACCTTCTGTGTTTTGGGGCCTGGAGCAGTCACCTGCCTGCAGCGTGGTCCCCTCAGTCAGGACGGTTTGTCACTCACAAGGCTGCTTGCTGCAGTCCCTGCAAATGTTAAGCCAGTCCCTGGAGCGTGGCTGTTCCTTTCAGTTGGGTGCGATCGTGTTGGCAGTCGCTCCTTCGGGGGTGGGGTGAGAACAGATTTTTCTGTCTCCACAGCTCCCCTTGCTCTCTGCTCATCTCTCATGATTAGTGCCGTGTTGCCCGGCCTGGCCCTGGCTGAGAAGGAGCACTGAGCACCCGCATGGGGAAGGACCCAGGCTGGGGCTGCCATGCTACGGTGGGGGAAGGAGCTGTCACTGTGCTGCGGAAGAGGCAGAAATCCCTGTGAGCAGCACGACAGCTGGTGCCTGAGATGCCTGTCACATTCAACAGGCAGTGGCCCTGCCCTGCAGATTGACAGCCTGCTGATGTGGGAATGCATCAGGAAGAAGGAGGCTGGGTGGGAGGTGGGGAGGAGAAAGGGAAGAGTCCCATGGCTGGGAACATCTGGAGCAGACTCGTCTCCGACAGCAGCAGAGTCCCTGTGCCAGGATTCACATGCTTCATTGCACAGTGGCCTGTGAGCGGCACACTGAGGTGTTAGTGCCGTGGAGACATATGCCCAGCTACACAGTGGGTCATGAGCTGTGCACAACTGCCTGCTAGTGCCAGGGAACGGTGCGCACCTGCCTGCTAGTGCCAGGGAATTGTGCACACCCGTCTGCTAATGCCAGGGAGCTTTCAGGGCACTTATGGCCCATTACAAGATGCTCCTTTTCTCCATAAGAGCCTTGGTCTCCTGCAAGCTGGTGAGAGCCCAATTCTTCAGTGAGACCAGACACTGCCCACGTCCCAGCCCTCTGAAAGCAAATGGAGAATCTCCGTGCCTGTGTGGGTTCTGTGCTTGGCAAGGCACTCAGCAGCCCCCTCTCTCTGTGATAGGTTTGGTAGTGTCCATCCTTGCCTGTGATCTCCCCCTTCTCCCTCCAGCCTTACCCATATTATTGGCTTTGCTGCCCAGTCACTCTCCCCTGCAGCCGATGTCCTGGGCTCTCTCTGTAGCAGCCTGATCATGGCTTGTGCTCTTTTTGCAGCATATAACAGCCTCTGTCTGTCTGCAGTGGTCCCATCCCCCACCCTGTAACCTGGTACTTTCAGAGCCCTGTCACTAACCTTGGCAGCTCAGATGCCTTTCCAGAGGAAGCTTGCCCTGGATTGTGCTTGGTTCTGCAGCAGAGAAGAGGCCTCTGGGGTGGGAGGGGGAAGCAACAGCAAGCTGGGTGCTCGTGGGGTCCAGTGCAGCTCAGCAGGGCTGTTTGGGGATAGGGCACAGCTCAGCATGGCTGGGGAGTCATGGATTCGGTGGCAAGCTGGGCTGCCACCCATGGGGGGTGTGGAGGCAACCCAAGCTCCTGCCTTCCTTGGGGCTGCAGCCCCTTTGGACTCAGGAAGAGCAGGTGGCACAGGGAAGGGTGATTAAATGAACCTGGCTCTTGGTGCGTCAGATCCTGCTGTCTCTGGTTCAGCTTCAGCACCGTCTCCTTGGCACCTTAGCCCTGATGTGGCCTTGCGCTGGTCTCCGTTCCATGTGCAGGGCCCGTTTCTCTTCCAGCTTCATTCCCTGCTCCTTCCCTTTGAATGAAAGCCGGTGACCCAGTTTCAGGAGTGGAACATACTGCGTTGGCAGCAGGGAGCCGAGTCTTCCAGTGCCACTGCTAATAAATGACTCCCTTTCCAGCAGCTGTGGCAGTCTTTGTTCTTCCCCACCTGAACAGGTCCTGGGAGAGGACGCAGGCGGCAGGCCGACCGGGAGCGCAAGCAAATCAAACAGCATGGAAATTAAATTCCTTTTCACTGTTTAATTCACTTTCTTCACAAGTGCAACAAGGAGCTTTGGAAGCAGAAAGCCCAAATGCTAAAGACATTCGCTCCAGTGCTGCAGGTGAGGGAACTGTTGTTCCACCTTGGTTTTGCCTTGCTCAGGGTACTGAGCAGGGAAGAAGAGGGCCAGTTTCACTGGATGAGTCTCATATCCGAGCCTGGAAGGATGTGCTGGCGATGGTGGAATACGGAAAGGTGAGCTCCTTGGAAGCCACCAGAAGAAGCCCTGTTTTGGCGTCTTTGCAAGGAGGATTGTAGGTTGTGACTGTGGTGAGACGGCGATTGTGGAGGGCAGTTGTAGCTGTTTTTTTTGTTGGAGAAAAGTTGAACATCTTTCACCTGGTGGTTGCTGGCCAGAACTTTTAGTTCAGGAAGAAATGATATGCCATCTCTAGTCATAACACATCAGTCACCAGCGCCACGCTTCTCTCCTTACTGTGGAACGGTAGCATGTCAGACCTGGCCAGTGTCCAGCTGGCTACTCATTCTTGAGCCTTCACAGCTGGTATTTACTGGTTTCCTTGAAGAACGGCCTTCGTCCAACCTTTTTTTGTTGAAACACAGCATTTAAAAAAAATCCATGTTGGGAACACCCCCTACACAATGCCCTGTACAGTGGGGTGGGATGCTTCGCACCTCCTTGCCATCATGGTGCTTCCTAAACTTACCAGATTTCATTGCTCTCTCATATGCCATCATCCCATCCCCTTAGTCTGTCACAGCCAGCTGCTTTCCTTCTTCCGTGGAATGAAAGCCCATATGTCACCCTGCGAGTGCCCATGGTGATTGCCAAAGCTGGGTGGGATTGGGCCATTCTGTGTACCAGTTGAGGCCATTCTGGTTGATAGACCTGTCCTAAATGTCCATGAAGGTACTGATCATCCCAGATTTGTTAGTGCATGATCAAGGTCAAGCAATGCATCTGGATCAGCAGTTGCTGGGCTTGATGGCATGGCTGGGGGCTGATTGGAGGCCCACGGAGAAGGGCTGCTCCTTACCAGTCCTGGAAATACAAGTGCATGTACCAAGCAGAAAGGTCCCCATGAGCGAACATTACTCCTCCAGATGGGGAAGACTCTCAATACGGGTGGCCCATCACAGCCTGTCTCCAATGCTGGTCTGTTCCTGAAGACTCTTGGCTTGGTGCTGCAGTTCTGGGCTATCCTTTAGTTGGGCTAGGATACCTGACAGCAGTATCATTCTCCACCAGTGCAGTTGCTGTCAGTCTTCTCCCCTCTGACAGGGGTGATGCATGCCTACCCCTGCTCAGAGAACCTGCTCCAGCTGGAGACCTCAGCATCACCCTGCTAATGCTCTGGGAGCCCTGCTTTGGGCAGCTGTCAGGGTGCTCCAGCCTCTATGCAGCTGATACCCCTCCTGCAATCTAGAGGGCTTGCTTGCCAGATTGTTATCGACCCTACATTAACTGTGGTGGTTGTAGATGTTGTATCCAGGTAGATCCCGTGACCTGCTTTCCATCCTCATTTTGTGGAGTCGTAAGCAGACCTGGCCTTTGAATTGTGAGGGAATTGCACTGATTTGGGAGTGTGAAAGTTGGGTGTTTGGCCCTGACAGACACCGGTACCCAGTGTTTACCTACGGTGGGATCCATGTGGACAGTGGCTCAAGGAATAATGGTTCTGGGAGGGTCAGCGCCCCCTCTTTCCAGCTCCCCATTCTCTTTGAGTAAGTTGGCTCTAAACATGTCCTCGAGTGTCACAGGTTTGGGTCCATTGGGGACTCTCCCTGTGCCGGCATCTGTAATGAGAGTGGTACTGTGCACTGCTCAGCCTATCTACAGCGGACTAGGTGACAGAGACCCGCATCCAGCATGGTGGCAGCTGCTTTTCTCTGTTGTCGACAAAACTTGGGGTGAGAGATCCCATCTCTTCTGTACCCATCTGTCATAATTGAGGCCAACAAGGAGATGGAGCCCAGACAGAGCTACTGAGCACAGGCACTGCCAGGATTGTTGTGCCAAGGGTTACCTGATGCTATACTCTTTTGTCACATCGCTGCAAAATGGTGTTGAGAGCAGCTGAGCTGTGTGCAGCGATTCCCGGCACAGGTGGAGAGAGGCAGCACTTTGCCTGCTGTGACGGAGATGGTAGGGCCAAGACACGGAAGTCGAGACCCATAAGGACCCCTGCTCCATGTAACTCTTGCTGCTGGTGGAGACAGCGTCACCACCCTACAGACTGGTGTCCTCTAGTCATCCCCTGAAATGGCTCAGCAGCAGATGTACAAGCTCCCCGTGCAGTCCTGCACAACGTCTCTGCTCTGACCTGGAGACACCCACCTCGAAGGATGAGCTGTACCAGTCATTCAGTCTCCATGGCCCAAAGGCCTGGATTGAGACCATCAATTTGTTTCC